GGTTGTTTATATGATTCGTTCAAATCTACCCAGATTTCTTCGTATCCAACCTTGAAAAATAGCCGAAGCTCTTACCATTTAGGATCTTAAACCAGAACTATGCGTACAAAAGAAGTACGTCTTATCGTTATCGTTACCTTGGCCTTAATTATTATTATTATTGTTATTATTATTGCATTCCCCCTTTACTTATGTCTTATATTCTCATTATTTTATTCGTAAATGCTCATCATATCACCTTATTTATTTCTACACCCCTATGATCTTTAATTATTATAACAAAAATATTTTAATCATCTTATTGTATTCACTAAATCTATTGTTATCATTCGTATTACGTATTCTAGTATTATAATCTTCCTATTATGTCATCTTGGTTAATTGTGTGTCCCATTTCCTCACGGAATTAGTACTTTTTTCATATATATACGATTGTACAGATTGATAATAAATTCGTTGAAAAGAGATCCCTTCGCTGAACTTCGTGTTTTAAATGATGATTTCTCGTTTTTTCGTTTTTTCCAATTAATTCAGAATGAATTTTATTTTGCACTGATTAATCACTTCTGTTATAAGAATATTGGTCACTAAAAATTAGAAAAAAAATCTAAATTAATAGCCATTGTCAATTGATCTAACATGATCATTCTCATCAAACGATTGAATTCGGTATTCGGCTATTATTATTATTATTATTATTATTATTATTATTATTATTATTATTATTATTATTATTATTATTATTATGTTTTGGGATAACCCCTATAGCAAAATCGAATTACAATCGATTGTAAGATTCTTCTCCTATTTCACTAGATATATACAGATTAGTGAAATTGAATGATGACTATTATACTGCCATACTTCAACAATAAACACTTGTACAATATATGAAAAGGGAAGTCAGGATCTCAAATGAGTCAAATTTTTCAGTAGGATAGCTTTATTTATATAATGACAAATATGATCATCTTTAAGCATATGGCCGGTAAGATTTGAGGAAACTTGCAGTTTACTAGTATTCGATCACAGGTGTCTTCGAAGCATTGCTCGTATATCCTGGGACCACCGAGTAAGTAATGCACTTGTTGGGAAATGGGTACTAAGTAAGGATTGCAAATCAATTGATGAAGTAGTGAAACTTCATCAGTTGAGATGGCTGGGACATATGTTACGTATGCCCAACCACCGACTGTCTCGACGTGCGACGTTTTATGGTGTAGGAGTAGGTTGGAAGAAACCTGGGAGTGGTCAGATCAAAACATGGCAAAAATCCATGAAGTCACTGACAGGTGGAGTGAGCCATGTTGGTAGATGTAGACTACCTTGTTGGGGACCGCGAGGCAAGAGCAACTGATGGTTTGAGACCTTGAATGACGTGGCTGAAGGTTGTTTGCAATGGCGCAGGTGCATCCAATGTTTGTGTTCTGCCAAATTCTAATCTTCTGAATTCTTCATGTCCCTTTCTCTTTTTCTCTTTCCAAATTTATTTTACTGGATTATACTCCTTGAATAACATGTTCAAAGCCTAATGTTTCCGATTACTGCTTACACTTTTACTACGTCTACCATTATGGTATTTGAGTCGACAATTGTATCTCTGTGTTAATGTTGTATGTCAACTTGGACTGATGTATGTACGTACGAAGTTCTACGTTACTGACTGACTAAAACACGCAAAATAAAAAGTAATAATCTGAAAAGTGAGTGTAACCAATCAGTTAATACCATGGGTCAGTCTGCTAGTATGAATTCGAATTACAGAATCAGGAATTTAGATTTGAGGTAATCAAAATTTAGAATGAAAGTCTTAATCTTTTGTGTGAAATTCAAATATCATGTATAACGAGCAGTAGAAACACATTTTAAATCATAATGTAGAAATATTTTTTGGAACCTTAGAATAAAAATGATAGCGTTAAACGTATCAGATGTCTAATTATTTCTCTTTAGATTGTATATAACAGGGAAATAAACATTATTTCTAAACTATAAGCTTAAACTCTTCATTCTGAAGCATACCTAAACCTGGTGAGATTATATTTTATGTAGGAGCTAATCAAGTAGTGTACCTTGTAGGTTTGAACGAAATCCATCTTTTCCATATGAGTACAGAACAGTTCTAAATTATAGCCGATGTCAGTTTATGATGAAAACTCTAAGAACACTGTGGGACTGAATTATTTTGATTAGTTCTGAGTTATGTCACCATAAACTTATTCAACCACTCATCTAAGTTGTAACGCTCGAATCTCGACCAAATGTGTAGTTTGTTACTTCCAACATGTGATTAGACATTATTTAAGCGTAGTACCTAGTTCTAACACCAAATCGAGACTCATGTGATCATTACATTGTTTTACAATAATTTCCCTTCCAGAAGTTGAAACGAGGAACGCACTGTTACTGAGACCACGAATTGATCTACGTTATACAACCATTGAATATCATGAAGGAATAGACAGTTAATCAGTCCCACTATAAAACCACTCAGCAATGCACATCCACTACTTTACAGCAGATGGTCGAACTCAGGACCTCCGGTCTCGGACGTGTACCCTTAACCCTTAGACCATTGAGTCAGAACTCGAATTTTTACACGTTTAGGTTCAATCACTTCGCAAGCAAAGTAGTTAACATTTCTGAGAATCGTGTTTTCTGTGTTCTCTATGTTTTCTTTCTAATAAAGATATATATCACCAGAAATAGAGAGAAAATTTCTACTTTTGTTATCTATTTCTTACAATCTCACAAACTCTTAAGGTCACCTCGTCTTCACTTGTAACTTCTACCTCATATATAAATATATATGTTTATGCGTGTGTGAAATATGTAGTAATATCTACGTGTAAATACCCATGTCCTAATAATATCGAGTTTATATGTTTATCTCTATAAATTTCTATGGGAATTATTAATTGGATATGTTTAGTTTAATTAATGCAATCATGTAGCATATGTAATAAGATATCATATTCTAGTGTAGGAGTAGAGTATGTGAGTTCTGCAATGACCAGAATTTTGTTATTGGTCACTATATATTTTTAAGCCATTGTATTGTTCAATTAAATCTGGTACACTTGACCTGACTAGCCAGTAACTTTCTTATGTGGTATTCATCAAAGTTTGGACTCAGTTGACGATAATATATGGTAAGGTGGTTGTTGGGCACACTTGTTGAGAAGTTTCATACTAGGATGAAATTAACCATCGGACGATCTTTAACGTTTAATTGTTTCTCCACTACTATTAGTTCATGTCGATAATCAATTACAGATTGGAATAATCTATACAAAACCCAGTTCAACTGCTACTTGTTTAATACCTCTGATTACCTCGCAATAAGATGGTATATAGGCTAGAAATAACGAAATATTTAATGAACCACTCTATCAAGTTCACATATACTTAGTAGGACTTAGGAATTATCCGGCAATTATCTTACTACTTAATTTCAAAAAGCAATATGTCTATTTCACATTTAAATTTAATTGCTAGCAGCTTTTTACTTCCTTTCGTCTAAATCATGTGTAACTCTTAGTTTAATACTTTCGAGGTACAATATATGCAAAGTTACACTTGAAATAACTTAATACTTAATCTGTTATAAGTAGTACTGGAGTCGGTAATAATTATTCTCATTTAACAACATAAATTAAGATATCTACACACGTACCTAATGATAATGGGCGATGCAACTAATGTATAAATTATTACTATAACTAATACCTATGTATGTTAAAAGATTATGACGTCAGATGGAGACAGACCACACTACAAGGTCATATTGAATCAGTGTATGTAGTGGGCGTTAAAATTATGCAATTTGGTTGGCCACTTATCCAATAACCATGACTAATATATTTCTTGTGGGGTTATTCAAATGACCCAGCAGTAATTGAAACAACTTTTGTGTTTTTCGCCTACGTTGATATTTCATATACTCAATAATTGTTTATTTTCATTCAGCATGTTCTCATAATTATAGGTAATTATAACGAGACCAATTTATGGTTTATACCAATGACAGATTGTGATGGTATAAGAAGTGATAGTTAGGTGGATAGGTGGATGGATAATTAATGGTTGGAAAGAGGAATAGAAGAAGGTTCTGAATAATATTGAATTTGAATTGATTCTAATGTCCAATTAACTAGTTAGAGTCTAATACAAATCTACTACATTTTTATTTTGATTATAGTTTCGTAAAAATTAGGCGCACAAAGGATTTGTAGTCGGCATTGAGTATATTTGTAAAAAAATCCCATTATTGGAGATTAGCTGGTTGCAATCTTTTACCTGACGCTGGTTCAGTCAGTGTACTTCATAACCTACTAGTTTCACAAACATAATGTATATCTAGTGTCTAGTTCTACTTTATTAATAATTTATTGAGTGCTCAATCTAGTTATTAATCGGTTTCGTGTTGTTATTCTTCAACTGCGAATAGCTTCTCAATATTGAGAGGTACACGATGAGTTCTATCGCCAAAATATGGCTTTGACATATTTTATCCATCTCTATCAAAATTAAGGTGTTATCACCTTGAACTATTATAATTGAACAAGTAATATCGATAACCTAATCCTAACGCTTATTGAGCTACATAGAAATTCTCTATCCTTAAGCTCAAGAGCTAAGCAACGTGTCTTCTAGTTTAAAAATTCACTTGATTATACATGTGAATTCAGGGACCACAATTCATCTTAAATAAGAAATTACAACCTATCCCTAATAATACAATATTTGAACAACAGGTTTATAATTGTGATGAAAGAATGAATTTTCTGGGATAGAAAAGTATAAGATAATTTCAAAGCTTAATATCTAATGTCTCTACTTAGTGATCACGATAATCATGTGGATCCCCATTCAGTTAGTCTGCATCTATCAAAACAGCTCATACCAACAGTTCATGACGTCACAAAATGATCCTATATATATAATAAACTACTGTAATTTTATTGTGCTTTTATGTTTTGTTGTTATATTTTTTACAGACTACTGGAGAAAATATTAATTGTGTGCAATCAGCACTTTGTTCCGATGGAATAACTTTGGATTCAAATGAAAACTTAAGACAAAAGCAATATCAACCACATAGTCGACATGAATCTCCAACTATACAAACACATACTGGCTATTTATCTTCTTCAATATCACCACCATCATCATCATCATCATCTACCTTGTGTTGTAAATCATCTCCTAACAAAGTTCAACAATCTCAAGTACCACTTTGTGTAACTGTTCAATCTCCTTATCGTAAAAATCAAGAATATTCTTCCTTTACGTATGATGTATACAATGACACAACACACTGAAATAAAAGTGGTGAAACAAGAAAAAAAGCTATTCTTCACTAATATTTCTTTTCACTCTGGTCACTCATACTATCACTACCGTCCTTTTCCCCGTTCTCATCCATCCTCCTTTAGTATGTAGTGGTACCCTATATGATTTTTGAATTTTTAATGTACAGTGAAAGCATTTCTGATTGAGTTTCTATTTCTTCGTTTATTGTTTTAATTCTGTGTTTTTAAACTATTCGTTGTTTTCTTTCTCTGGTTATTTGAGTGTGTATAGGCGTTCTGGATTCATTCGTCTTAACAATTTTACCTCATTATTTAATGGAACATTTTATAGCATTATTTGTACGAGCTACGTTTAATCTGATAACATAATGGTAAGGAAGAAAACAAGGCAGGAGCGAACGAGTGAAACCTTGTTAGCAACTTCATTTATTTATCTGTTTTCATCATTCCTGTCAGTTTATTTATATAGATTATTGAAACAGTTATCATCATATGATATTATACAACACAGAGAAATTTCGTCGATCTGTTTGATAAACAATCCTCTCAGTTTTTGCCGTAACTGTGTGTGCTTTAGCTCTTTCTATCCTGCCTATTTCAATAATATGACACTCGTCTATGTTGATGTCATCTTCATAGAACTGGTTTTATCATGGGATGCATATTTCTTTTTTTTATCAGATTGAAATAAAAGTGAAACAATGAGAGAACAGACCTATCTATTATTTACTGTACATTTGTTTATTTAACAGCTTGAATAATCCATTTACAGGTTGTACATTTGTTATTTGTGTTGTATACCTTCACATAATTTCAAACTTTGTTTTATATGTACTCAAAATTAACCGGCACGTACTACTAAATATAGATGTATATGCATATATGTAATTTTAAACAACCAATGGGCTTTCAGATTTTTCTCAACACAATACAGCTGGTATAAAACAAATGTGATTGGTCGAAAGCTAGTAATTCTGTTAATTTGTGATCAGTTATATATAATATTTGTTATTTTGTATTGGTTATTTATTCTTCCCTAATGTGCATTCCAGTATAGTTTTGGTATTGCACTCATTCTCTTTATCTATCCATCTATTGCTGCTTTATTGCATTTGTGTTCTACACACAAAGTAAAATGTTATATGTACATGTATTTTGCATATTCATTTTCAATCACTTTTTATTCTGTACAGTTTTTCTCAATTATCTAATAATATTATTGATTGATTTTGTTGCTACAGTAACAGTACACCAGACTTCACCGTACTATACTATACTATACTACACTACACTAATCTTACCTAATTTAATGTCCATTACTTTTGGCTATGCTTCTTTTTGTGCGTGCTCGTATCTCTTCTTAATTTCAGTAGATTCTTTTCAGTTTTGTGTATCTGTTTGCTTGTGTGTATGTGCGCACGTGTGTTTTTTGTTTGTTTGTTTGTGGTACGACAGGACAAATGAATTAAGTTTCCTTAAAATTTACACTTTAGCACATAAATCTTTTTCTACCAAAACGATTAGAAAAAAAGTATGTAAACATTATGATATTTGATATTGTTCATTATTTTCTCTATTCAATCTGTGAATTTGTTGACTGTTCTTTGTTTGTTGGTGTCTGTCTACTTTTATTGTGTGCTTTTGTTCAATTGTTGTCTGTTGTTTTGTTTTCTCTACAGTAAATCGACAGTTGTTTCCTTCCTTAATAGTTATCTTGTTTTGTAACTGTTATTACAATATTTTTATTGTTTTTATTGTTATTCTTGTAAATATGTTATAAATTATTTTGCATATAGAAAAAAAAATAAATTATTTGCATACAAATGACATATATACATACATTGCTGAAACAAGTATTGCATTGGTTGATGACATCATGTCCTATTCAAGTTGATCTTTGTTACTGAGTCACTTACTGTTTTTTTTGTATATATGTTGGAATAAATTCCTGATTAGGAGTAGGGGGGTGGAAAGCCATTATTTTGTGAAGTTAAACTGAATACCATAAGAAGAGATGTAAAACTCTTGATTGTGTTTCATAGGTTTTATCATAATATATATATAATTGAAAATGTTAAGTTGCAATTTCCCAAAACCTTCAGCTTTATTTTATTCTTTAATTCTGATCATTGTCTTATAAACAATATTGATGTGGGTAGACAAGCCGAATTCTGGTTGGCTAGTTAAAGGTTAATTTCTGTCATCAGATCATTTTCATCCTATCGGACAATTGAATCATCACACACTCACATTAATGAATTGTATAAAAATGAATAATGTTATTTTCGTACTACAAACCTCCTATGATTTCAAACTTCACTATGGCCACTTAATTAGATCACTAGTTCATTTTGTCCACTAATGATGAGTACTTTTACATCAACAATGCCGACAACTTTTGCTTTGTCGGTTGTACTAACACTGATTGTCTCATGTCACTTCTTTCTCTCTCTGATATTCTCAGTCAGAACATGAGAAGAGTCAGTCAATTTATTCTGTTTATTTTATGACTTGATATTCACGTGGTCACAAGCGTCAACTTCACGATCACAACTCACTCCAAATAGGAAATCACAATCTGTACACATACTGAGTAACAAGTACATAATTATGAACGGTAGAAGACGTATCATCAGTCAACTACATATAATTAGGGCAATATAAAAATATAGTAAAACAATTATTTAGCAAATTAGGACTAAATGTAGTATAAGATAGTTCTAAAAATTCTTCCCTTTCCATTTACCTACATGTATTAACTTTTCTTTACCCTTCCACCTTCCTCGCCAGTTGGTAATCACGTTATATATATAGTATATTATGTTAACCAGACAACATATTATATATGTCATTCGTAGTCGTTCAGTTTAATCAAGTTCTGTTAAGCTGTAATAAGAACCACCATATAGTGATTGATAAAACCATTATTTTTATTGGCGTTACCGGTTGGCCTCTCAAATTAAGGAATAACTTTTTTTAGTTCGAACGATTCTATTGCGGACACGATAAAGCCTTTTGAGATGCAACACGTTTCAATAATCACCCGCTAACACGAGTAGATCACTTGAAATGGTATGATTCAATATATATAGTAACGAAAGCTTGATTTTCAAGTGCACGGGAGAGTAGCAAATTAAAATTGATGGCAACTAACTAGTAAAGGGGAAAGATCATGAGAAAAACTAAAATGATGAAAATGCATTCATGGCCATCATTCCTTGTAGGACTGTAGTATTATTAAACAAAACTGAGTAATTTGATTATGCGATGATCAATATTGTATCAGAGGTTTTTCATGTGTAGTGCCTTTTTTGCTTTTACTGCTACTATTATTGTTTTGCGTTTCTTGGTTAGTTTCGTCTTGATACGCTTCTATCACTATGATTTAGTAAAAATTAACTAATTGAACTGGGTGACATTAGTTCCAGATGGGTAATATGTTGTTTATCAATGACAACAGTTGTTTAGATTGAATGACTCCATTGTAGATTAGAAATGACAAAAAAAAGTGTCAAATTGTGACGTGCTGACATTTTTAGGATTGAATTATGTCACTTTATATATATATATATATATTTGTGTGTCTGTCTGTTGGTATCTACATTAACTGACTTTAAACAAATGTTATGAATATTACCTTGGACGCCACTTTTATATTTTATGATAATGGTCTGAGAAAGGGAATCTAATATGTGTGTATTTTTGTACCTGTTTATTGTTTACATTAAAGTGTCACAAAGCACGTTGAGGTTTGAATCCAATACTCTTAGCTTTTTTCTAAAGTTAGAATGAAACATAAATCCTGAAGTTTCTCATACTAGTGGTTACTCTGACTAATACCGATAGCGATTCTAATACGACTGGGACCAGTAAAGTGATTCTGCTAGGCACGTGAACTGACTAAATAATGAAAAATAAACTGTTTGAATGGCCTAAAATATATTTGGCAAAATTACATATATATATATATATATATATATATATATATATATCAGTCAGTCAGCTACAAGGTAGGACCAGGCACATATGTGCATCGGTCCAGGTTGCCATACCTCATTAGCACAACAAGATGAACACCGGATTCATAGGAGTGGTTAGGTCAAAGGTTGCAATAAGGATATAGTATAGGAAGGAAGAATTAGTTCGTAGAAAGAAAGATATGAAGTGATTTTAATCTCTTAGTTTAAGGGAAGACAGGGAGTGTATACACCGACGCCATTGTGATCGATTCTGAGCCATGTCACCAAGAGTCTCCAACCATTGGTTACGATAGTCACACGGACCCCAACCAAGTAGTCTGCATCTACCAACATGGCTCAGACTAGAAGTTAGTGAGTTCAAGCACTGATGCCACGTCTTGGTTTAGCCGCCCCTAATTCTCTTCCAACCATCTCTAACACCCGTTAGAATTGCACGACGTGGTAATCGGTGTTCAGGCATACGTAACACGTGGCCCAACCATCTCAGTCGATGAAGATTAACAACCTCATCAACTGATTTACCATCATTCCCTAATACCCTGAGTCTAACCTCACTATTACTTACCCGGTGATCCCAACAGATGCCAGCAATATTTCTAAGGCATCTGTGGTCGAATACTAGTAGCTTACGGGTGTCTTCTACTCTTAAAGACCATGTTTCGCTGCCGTAAATTAAAACAGAACGGACTGCCGCGCAGTATACTCGTCCTTTTATTGATAGACGGATATCGCCTTCGCCATAGGTGACGCAAGTTGGCAAAAGCCAATCGAGCTTTCCGAATCCGTGCTGAGATTTCGTCCGATACCAACCCATTAGGGCTGATCAGACTTCCAAGATAAGTGAAGTTGTCAACGCGTTCGACTACTTCACTCCCTATCCTTAGTTCAGGTGTTAACGCAGACCAGTCCTGAAGCAACAACTTGCATTTAGAGGGAGAGAAGCGCATTCCAAACATTCTGGCATTGTTGCTTAGTGCTACCAGAAGACTCTGCATTTTGTCAGAGTCTTCACCAAACAGGACTATATCATCTGCGTATTATAAGTCTATAAGTGGACCTCCTGGAAGGAGATCAATACCCGAGAATTCAGTCGACGAGAGTGTTATTTCCATCAATAGGTCTATGATGAAGTTAAACAAAAATAGGGAAAGTGGACAGCCTTCACGGACACCACTTGAAGTTGCAAAAGTAGATGACAGTTCGCCATAAGCCCTGACTCGACTAGTAGTGTTCGAGTAAAGAGCCTTCACAAGGTTTATGTACTTCTGAGGTACGCCTTTCAATGACAGACACTGCCACAGAGTCTTGCAGTCTACAGAGTCAAACGCTGCTTTTAAGTCAAGAAAGACCACCATTGTCGGACGCCGATAGGTATGCCTGTGTTCTAGAACCTGACGAATGGTGAATATGTGGTCGATGCAGCCCCGACCAGGTCTAAAGCCAGCTTGGTTCTCTCGAGTTTGTAGTTCACGAGTCTTAGTTAGGCGTCTGATAATTATCGAGGCCAGTATTTTAGATACTATGTTTGTTAAACTAGTCCCTCTGTGGTTGTCACAGGATGATTTTGACCCTTTCTTATATATTGGGACGATAAGTGATTGTGACCAGTCAGATGGGATAAAGTCTAATTCCCAGATCTTAGCTAAAATATTAGTCAACCTAATCGCTAAAATTGGACCACCATCCTTAAAGACCTCTGGAGCCAATCCATCTGGACCAGCTGCCCTTCCTCGTTTCAGATTAACTATAGCCTTTTGAACTTCAGCAAGAGTTGGGGGACCTACTTCAATGTTCCATTCACATTGTCTGGGAATGGAGGGTAGTTGTAGAGTAGCTGAAGGCCAGCTGAACTGTTCTCTAAAATGTTCCGCCCATCGTTCTAAACGTCTGGACTGGGAGCAGATGAGAGTATCATCTTTTTCCGAAATAATCTCACTTACACTTGACTTATTAATTCCAGTTTCTTTTATTAGTCTGTAAAGCTGTCTTGTGTTCCCTATAGTCACCGCCTTTTCCATCTCTTTTGCTTTCGTTGCCCACCACTGCTCACGGTCGTTTCTTAGACTTTTTCTTAACCTAGATCTGATTTGTTTTCGCTCTTCCTCATGTTCAGAACCTGATGAGACGAGTTTGCGAGGATCCATCAGTGTGACAGACCTTGAAGAAATCCACTGGTTCCTTGCAACTCTGTGGTTTAAGTCACTAATAGATGTCACTGCTGTTTCCATAGCTGCTTGCATATCTTTCCAAGCAACATCTGGGTCAGCCTCGTCTTCAGAACTACCTAATCGTGACCTCAGTTGTTCCTGGAACCTACTTTTGGTTTTCTCGTTACTCAACTCAGTTCTAACGGGTCTTTTTAATGTGGCTTTTTTGCGTCCAGTGAGGCGCAAGCAGATGCGTGCCCGTATTAGGTCATGGTCGGAGTCCAAGCAGGTACTCCAGAATGAGCGACAATCTTCTACCGACCCTCTCCAACGATGACTGATGGCAATATGGTCTATTTGAGTCCATTGTTGGTTTGGTGTAGGGGGTCGCCATGTTAGACGATGTCTCTCCTTATGCTTAAAATTTGTGTTTGCTAAAAATAAACGATTGTCTGAGCATAGCTGCAGCAGACGATCACCATTATCTGTTCGCTGTGTCGGAATACTAAAATATCCACCTAAATGCCTTTCTGTTTGGTTTAAGCTACCTATCTGAGCATTAAAATCACCTGCTACGAGTACTATGTCTGAGCGTTTAGCTTTCTGAAGAAGTTCAGAAAGCTTTCTGTAAAATTAATCTTTCACATCATCTGAGCTGCAGTCAGTGGGAGCGTAGGCAGAAACGACGAAAAGGCAACGACGTGTGTCCCTATCCTTCCGAGTTCTTACGGAGCCGTTCAGCCGAACAGCACATAAACGACTGTTGACGAGGATCCACTCTAGCAGTGCTTGTTCGGCCATCATGCTTAGTGCTATGCCTACACCTGCCAGTCCACGAGAGCTAGCCATCGGGTCACCAGATACACGAAGGGTGTATCTCGTTGGCTCTCCGTTTTGCCGAGGTGAGGTCAAGTGAATGACCACACTGGGATCCTGTGTGCGTGTTTCAGAGACACAGCATACATCAATGGAAAGAGACTCT